GACTTAGAAGAAAATGTATGGATTGCAAAGCAAAATTGTCAAAATCCACAAGACGGCCTGAGCCAAAATGAAAGTGCATCGATTCATCTGTATACGATGCAATTTACATTGGGCGAAAGTTTGTACGTTGTATTAAACCGAACATTACGTGCTGAAAACCGTGACGATCTCAAGCCTTGGTTTAAATTTTTAAAACTGTTTATGACAGCCTTATTCAAGATGAACTCCATTCGTGCAACAGTTTGGCGTGGCATACGCGACGTAGATTTAAGCGGAAAGTATAAGAAAGGTGTTAAATTTGCATGGTGGGGTGTTAGTTCCTGCACAACAACAATTGATGTAATAGAGACTTTTCTTGGTAAAACTGGTATACGGACAATTTTTTCAATTGCATGTTTAAATGGAAAATCAATTATTAAACATTCGTACTTTAGTGTTTCTGAACAAGAGATCATTCTGACGCCCGGTACATATTTTAAAGTTGTAGGCCAAGTAAACCCGGCCGAAGGACTACACGTTATACAATTGAAAGAAATTCAACTGCCATATCTATACGAGCTAAGCTAGTGTCCGTTGAATAAACTGATATTGGTAAGTATTCTATCCATCTATCCATACCACCATCTTGAAGAATTTTACCAATAATATCACATAATGTAGTATTACCCCTGCGATTGTGAATCTCTTGGTCGACCACTGATAATCACTAAACCAGGTCATATCGACGTTAAATCTTTAACAACACCAGCCGTGAATTATTTTCCATTCTCAGATTGTAATATTTTGCTACAGAATACAAAAATAATGCATTCAATTGATATACTATACGAATAAAGCTGATAAATTTTAAGTAACGTGTGCAGTTTCTTTGGTCCTTAATGAATAAACTTATGAAAATTATTAAAATGATCTCGACAATGTAGAATTCATTTATAATCACCATCGGGTCTTTTACGAAAATCAATAAGATCTATTTCGAACCTTGTTAGAGAATCAACGGAAACGATTGCTGTTGCTAAAACACGAATTTTTAAGGCTTTACGTGCTTGGCATGCGACACATGTTGATAAAAAAATATTAATAACTTTTGATGAACCGTAAGACTTGGAGGCAAAAAAATTTTCGCTAGCGTAACTTCCCATGTAAAAATTTCCAAAACAGTTTTTCATATTTTATGCAGAAAACCCATGCAGAAATCTAAGTGGAGTAACGTAAAATATGGTTATATGAGCGAAATAAATACAACTTTTTGTGTATAATTTTGCTTAATTCTGCAAGAGCGAACTGTTTGCGTTACAACGCATGCAGAATTTTCTGCCGTATTTTGCAAAAAATTTTTTGCGTTACAACGCAAGAATGCAGTCGATGTGTTTCCAGAACAACGATGAGTCATCGTGATGATTCACCGTTTCTTTTGCGTTATTTTGCAGAAAACAGATTATTTAGGTTTGGTTATAAACAGGAGCTACAAAAATGAAAAAGCGCAGTAAAGATGTAGTAACTGTTTTCACTGACCAAACTGACGGATCGATCGACCACTTTTCATTATATACACAACTACCACATATTCTTTTCCGAATACATCCATATCCAAAAAATGTAAAAAAAGAAACAAAAGGTGATGAGTCATCGGTGAATCATCAGCTTTTTGCGTTATTTTGCAAAAATAATCAACGGATTGTATCCTAATGCTATTTATGCAAAATTATGCAAAAATTATCAAATATATAACATGTTTATGCACTTATATACGGAGAAGGCAAAGTACGTATTAGGTAACGTACACCTCAGACAATGGAATGACTCTGGATAATTTCACCAGAAATCTTCCTCATATGTAAAATGTTCTTCACACTCGATGAGACTTCCAGCATTTTTTCAGCCATCCTTCATGACTACTTTTCTTCTTATGATAGCACTATTTGTACTATTGAACGACTTTCGAAAAAACAGCTAAAATAGAGGCACATAATAACTTGCAAGGCTGATGCTTCATCAGTGTTTCTAATATTACGCGTACGCCTTTGTTTCGAAGAGTACGGTACGCTCTGATATACGCTTTGTACTTGATTCCAGAAAATAAATACTCTTTGAGTTTTATAAGGATTAAAGAAAAAGAATAGCATTCCCTAGAGAAAGTACTTGAGCCCAAGTACTTCGTCTGCGTAATGAAGCCGGTACTTGCTTTTTTCCTAGAAGTAAATTTGCCTGTAAGTACTTCCCTACGAAAAGTTTAGGCGTAAATGTGACAAAAAAAAAATCATTGATTTACGCGCCTTTACAAGGTGTTAATTTGGCATGAATTACAGTACATAGAAGGTCTCAACAGGCATAAGTTAGCACTTAAACTTGTCGTTGCGGTTCGGCGATGAAAAGTGGTTGATTTGTCCGACTTAACTAGTTGCTTTTCATCACAGGTTTGAGCGCTACTAAAAGTACTTCTTATATGAAATGATCGTGAGAACTGCGTAGAGAAAATTCATTTTATTATTTTCACAGGACACATGTGACATATAGAATCAAGTATAGAACATCTTCTTTTTTGTATTACGTGTTTTGTATCCTGTGTCCTGTGATATACGTATGCAATAGCGCATGAAATAAAAAGATAAATTTCGTATGTGCAGATTCTCCTTCATTATCAGTTTAATATTCAGTCGACTGTGGTCGTCGTATAACTAAGGTTTTTGTCACTGACAAGATTGGTAACATAAGGAGTGATCATCGTTTTTATAAAGCTAATTTCGCGTTTGTTAATGTAAATTCTAACAAAGAGTATTATGAAACACATAAGTTAATTCTTGAGAAATATCAACAATGGATAAAATATCTTGTTGTATGTGAAAATAACGATGGTCGTAATTTATCTATTCAACTTATTTTTCACACCCGCATAATTTTAAAAATTTCTTAAATGACATTTTACCAACCAGGGAAGCATTTCATTATGAAAATAAGATACATCCTGATGAATTTAATAATACAATTAAATCCAATATACTATTTCTTGAAAATACGACATATCTACCTATTATTAAAAGAAAAAATGATAGTCATTGTGAGAGTCACTCTGACATAATAACAAAGAGAAATGAGTTAGCCATGGCTGCATTTCAGTCAATATAAAGCCAAGAAAACGGTTGAAAATGATAAACCAGCTATTTATTTAATTAATCCAGAAGATGCTGGTAATGTTGATAAAAACCCCTATTGGATTAAAAATGGTGTATTCATAATTCTTTAACAAGGAGAACATTTGTTTTAACTTTTGTTTCAGTTCCTATTGTTCGTGCTCAGCTTCGTGTTGTCATTTATTGATTTTATTGCTTTTATTTTACTACGTCATAATCGTTCAGAACGACACATGCGATCAAAAGAAAAAATATATAACGAAAAGAATACATATACCAAAAGAGAGTTTACGAAAAGGATAACTTTTTAAGTTAAAAATCAAATTGATTTTATGCATATTATTAAGGGTCGCGCCTATTGATAAAATTTTCGTCTTTCTATCATTTAACACTGCTGAGATCTCAACCAATGCATATTTATTCCCGAGGTCCTAAAAGGCTAAGTAGTAATGAATAGAGTTTTTTCATAGGGATCTTACTTGCCAAATACTTTCAGAAAGTACTTCTTAGCAATAAGGCAAGTATTTCGATCATTGTACTCAGCAAGTAATCAAGTACTTGCATCAAGTATGTTCTCTAGGGTTTGACCACTTGATATTATATTTCTATATCTAAAATCTATATATTTTTAGACAGAACGTGAACGTGAAAACACCGAGACAGCGTTTAAAACACCCTTTATTTTGTATTTGAATTTGATTTAATTAAAACAGAATGATGAATAACAATCTTTTTTCTCTCTCTCAGCTTCATCATTTTTTAATTACTCGCTGGATTAGGACACGGTGGGCGCACGGCTAGGCGCGAGCTTGCATTAAACCTTTGATTTTTCATTGGACTTTTCTGCATTCCATGCCATTTTATGCTGCTTTGCTGAAATAACAAGTCATAGAATCAGAAAAAGATAGCGGATAGAAATTTAGAAGTTGTCGTCCGATAACTTTTGGGGCTAGCGCATCTTGA